CTGTGTGATCTAAAACTCTCTGATGGGCTCAAATGTTTTCTTCTCTGAGGATCAATGAGTGGTGCTCATCTAGGCCTCTGAAGAGAAAACCACTAATCTAGCAAGCTACTGGTACCTATGGGCAACATGTTTGTAGGCTTCCAGTAAAGCTGCAAATATGTGGATGAAGAGCCGGCGTCAGGCCCAGAGTTCCTGTTCGATGTTAGTCTCACTATGAATATGGAAAAAAGAAGATACATTTTTCAGATGGTGATTTACTTGCAAGCAGCCTCATCCTACAGTGACCGCTCGTTACTATTTGCCCACAAACTAACACCAAAGAGATTTCCGACACATATGTATGTAGAAGTGAAACATACTGGCAGACATATACTAACTTTTATTATGGATTAGTCCGCCAACTGGTCTCAAGCCCAGTGTATTGTATTTACCAACCATCGAAAGAAACAGTATTTACTGAAAGCCTGTTTCCATCCACACACAAGCAGAGAAGGGACAGGCCTCCATTTCACCCAAACAATTGATCAATGACGTCAGCACACTTCTCGGCTTCTGTCAGTGGAGTGGGCTGAGATTTAACTCGGGAAAGTGTTGATGCTGACACGAAGGCTCCGAAAAGCTCCTGAGAGCAGCGCTGGCGTGAGGAACGCGGAACAATGTGCCTCTTCAGCACTTTCTGCCTGGACTCCTTTTTCTGTTTGTCGGAACACGTGGAGCTTAGAACCACAATGCCACAGATCGTGTGTTCTTGCGAAGATGACTCACCCGCTCTGCAAATACAGACATTTATTCATTTTCAAATAAATCAAGTCAAACTGTGTGAATATTTTAAAGCCGGTAACCTTTATGGGAGACCACGTCTCCCATAAAGGTTACGGTCCGGACTGTGGGCCGGTCGCCTATAACTGGACAACCAATCGCAGCCACGTTCACACCTACAGGAATGACCGAGTAACCACATCTATGGCTGCGGGAGGAAGCTGGAGCATCAGGAAACTGCACGAAAGCCCGGATGATGGATTCGCACTCAAACACGTGTATAAGTTACACGTTAACGTCAAAGCTACTTCTGGGTTATCAGTGTTATTCGTAACTTACAGTTAAACTACAAACACAGTCTTCCTCGCGCGTTAACTGAGCGCTAACGTTACATTTAACGGTGAACGACAAAGTGTGCCATCTTCAAATAGACCAGCTTCGGCATCGCTGACGTCGACGTCATCAAACCCCCTGTTGTGCTTTACGCTACAAGCAAGCGTGAGTGCAACAAGGAGGGCAGCCCGAGGGCAACTTTTCCGGTGAAACGTCACAAAAATAGCCTTTGGTGTTGGTCGAAAATGCGGCAGATAACGACGGAAAGAGCCGAACAAGATTCTCAGCGGACGTCGAAAGAAAACGACACCGGTGAGACGACCGTAACCGGCATGGAAGGACAGGCCGTCCCCGATCCTAAACAGGAACCGGGCGACAACAACGACAGCAGGAAAGCGGAGACCAGCGGAGTGAGTGGCCGCGATGCGGCGGAGGAGCACGGAGACGCCCCGTCCCCCGTCCCCGACCAAGAAACCGCTCCGCGTACCGAAAAGTCGGCTGTTGGCGAAAGGGCCCCGAACCTCGAACTGTGTGAAGCCGCGAAAAGTCCCGCACAGGGCAGCTTGGCAAGTAGCACCGATTTCGCACAAGAGGGCTCCAGGGTGCTGAAACAAGAACAAAGAGAGGGGGGGAACGCGTCCGCCTCACCGCCTGCTGACCACACAAAGACCGCGGACAAGCCTGAGCACGGCATCAAGAGACGGGCCAGCACGGAGCTCACCTCGTCGGACGGAGAGCCGCTCAGTCGGATGGATTCAGAAGACAGGTTTGTTGGACTGAGCGGTGGCCTTATCTTACAGCACCATGCCAAGTTCACAGCTTTGAAGCAGTTTGTTTACAGGTGAAAATGTTCGCTTCCGCCGGGTCATGTAGTTCTTGAACGTCTCTATAGGACACGCTGGTCTGTATTTAGTCCACGGAAGCGTGTAGTGTGGGGGAGTGTTGGCTTACAGCAGTGCTCGTTACACAAATATGATGTAGTCTCATGCTAATACTAAAGTACAGCTGACCTACATGTCTTTGTTCACCCCCCCGGGGGGGGGGCATACCCTCACACGTGCCATCTACCTATATGATCGATAAACCAGGATAAATTAGCCGAATAGGAGCAGATGTTTCATGAAGGTCACAGTCTGGGATCGTTCTTGGTTGATAGGTCTTCTTTCTTTCTTGGGTTTGTGAAATAAGCGTTTTATAAGCAGATGGACAGAAAACTCCACACGCTGGTTGTTGCAGGTTTTTGGCAGAAAAGGACGCTTTCATGGAAACTAACACTTCTTAGTATGGATGTGTTACCAAGAGGCAGCTGCAGACAGTCGGTGTTTGTAGGATTTGTGAGTCATTTTCTACATGTGGGTTTTTGTTGTTGTTTGTTAGTTGGGTGCTTGCTAATCATACATCCATTCTCTGTAAACTATACAGTTTCAAAATATGACGACCACAACTGTAAAGCACGGAGAGTGAGGAGCTTTTATAATGCTGAACTTTTTGGATGTATAGGCGCGCACCACAAACGATTGCATGTTGGGGAACTTGAGTGTCGCTAGCTCCTAAAAATAAGATGACCACTCTGTGTTTGCAACAACACTCTTAATCAGCTTCTCTCTGCATCGTGTTGTTTTACTTTGAACATGTCATTTCCTGTCAGCTCGGTTCTCTTCAGTTTTTATAAAGGCAAAAACACAGATGACATCAGGTCTGAAAGTGGGACTGCCAGCCTCTGTGGTTAGTGTTAGCAGTGAAACGTATGGAGGCAGTAAGAGACAGGTCTGCAGGGTTAGCCGGGGTAAACACGTCTCACGTGAAGTCTTTATTTGTGTGACACATTTTGACTAAAGTGGAAAAATAGACCCCACCAACACACTTTTACACCAGCAGGTCCAATCAGTGGACAACACTCACACAAAGAAGATGTAATTCATCATTTCCAAAAAAACAAAACCAAACCCCAAACTGGCTGCTTCATGATGAAGCCCAGGTTATAGTGGTTGGTTTTACCAAGGGGGGTAAGTAACTGAAGTTACTCTGTCAGCTGTTCATCCACCAAACTGAGGTGACTGGTTTCCATCTATCTTTGTCATGAGGGTCGAGTTTGAGTTTAGACCTCGGTCTGTTTGTTTTATCAAATACTCGCTGAAAAGTCTACAGTTGTAAAATGGAGTTATCAGCAGGCTGATGTTATCTGACGTATTAGCGATAAGCTCGATATTGTTGTGATTGGTTATTTTCAGCAGATGTGCGACCCTCCCGTCTCTGGAAAGCCGACGAGAGAAGGCTAAACAACAACATAAGGATCCAAGCTAACACACGTCTTAAACGTTTAAGCTCGTTTCTCTCTGATCAACAGTTTGATCAAAGTTTCTTTGCTATGTGCGAGTCAGCCCACGTGAATATCAGCGAACAGCAGCGCCTGCTGACACAAACCCCAAACATCCTCACCGGTGTTCATCAGAAGCTTCGCCGACTCAGTGACGGAGTGTAATCAAAGTCAGGTACTGAGCAGTGACCGTGGTCACTTACAGTCACATCCTGACACTGTGCTGATGAGCATTCAAACTTTTAGGCTTCACATCTCGTCCGGTGTCATTCGAGGGGTTGTTGATAACATACTGATATAAATCGTGCCGTGAAGTCGGGAGAACGATGGCGTTACAGCATCAGTGAGCACACCCAGTTAATCCATAAGTCATATTCATAGATCTTAGGGGTATTTACTTTGGCAGTTATTCTGAAGCATTATCCAAGTTATCTTTCATTTCTGTGCACGAAGGAAAACTGGTTTGTAAAATAATTTAAATGTAAAACTGAGTAACTTTCCTCTAACATGACACAGGCAGGATCACCATCTCAGCCATTGTTGAGTCCCCGCAGGCCTTCTGCCATGGCTCTGTTTCTGATGATGATGATGATGATCTGTGGTTACCTGTGAATTTTTAAGACTTGCGGTCTTCCTCACCTGAAGTAGTCCTTGTGAGAGCCGGGCCGTGCTCCAGGTAGCCAGTTTTTCACTGCACAGTGTGTCTTTATACTGTTTGAGGTCGCGACCTGTGACAGAAAGTAGCAACCAGACCCGTACACTATCAGCTATCACAAACAGCTGCCTGAAGGCGCTCAGTCATGAACCTCGTGGACTGCAGCCTGAAACTGTCTGATGTGTGTCAGACAGTTTTCCTACACATTAATATTGGATCGTTTGGATATTGAGATAAATATTCATCGAGTTTTAAGAGCTTTTGTAAATCTTCTCACGGTCAATGTTCCCTCTAAGCTGCGCTGCTGGCGTCTCTGCGCACAGAAACAATCTACCTGAACTGAAATTAAAA